GCCTCAATACTTAGTTTTGCCTTTTTAAACCTTGGGGAAAAGTTTTGGATTTATGTGCAGAATATTTTATTGGGTGAATATATGGTTGAAAATGATTATTTAGAAAAAAGAGTTTTGAAATAGCGGATGTCAAACAAAGGTATTACGTATTTTGGTAAAAATGTAAAAGTTACCTTAAAAAGTAAGTCATCCAAACAGAATGTTAACGAAAAGTAACTACTTTTTTATTTTGAGCTTAGCTAAAACATGTTTGTGTTGATCTCTTGACTTTGTGAATATATTTATAAGAATTATTCTACTCTACCAGATTTTGGTTCACAGATTTTGTACAGACTATCTCACATGAGGTGGGTCCCGAGGACCTAACTCATTAAAAAAACCCCCCAAAAATGTTAAAACACCCACCCACCCTATCTCACATGGCTGTGCCAGATCTTTTACAGATCTGGCACAGCAGCACAACTCNGTGCCAGGTCTTTTACAGACCTGGCACAGCAGCAGAACTCTATTTATATTTTATAAACTCCCATAGGTGTCATAATGAATGGTCTACGCACAGTTCACTTCAATTCATAAGCAGGAATAGTTTTACCTGATTTATCCATCTAAAGTCTGGAGTCTGAAACACCTCGTTGCATTGCATCTCAGACCTTATGCCACCTGTTCCGCTTATTACTAAGCAACTACAAGAAGGTGACATGTCAAATGTTGTGCTATATAATGTGGATTAGTACATGTAACTGTAAACTCTCGCATTTTTGTTCATACTATTAAATTCATTTTTGATTAATACATCAAGTGCTTTGACTAATAATTTCCATTTTTGCAGAATATTTGTGAAGAAGAGCGCATATCATACGTTCCGCCAAAGCGTGTATGAGTTACTAGTCGAACACCGGTGGTCCGACTATCATTGTAGCACATTATATAAACAATTAAACAGTTAGGAAGAAGCCTTGTAATACTTGATTTACATTGAACAATTTCACAAATTACTTGGACCTTTTTATTTCGTTGAGCCATGGTTTTTTAGGTATGGAGCTTTCAATTTTCGTGTGTGATTTTTATGCATTTTTGGTTCTTCATATTCCATCTAGCAGTCGATAGCCATGCATTATTAATAAAATTTATGTGTTGACAATCTAATTTTAGACCCAAATTTTTAGGCACGAATGGTTGACTAATCATATTTCCTCGAGCAGTCGATTGAAATGCATTTTATCAATAAAACTCGTGTTAAATTAGGTGTTGAAAATCTAGTCCTTGTCCGGGAGAAATTTTTATCAAGATAAAAATGAAAACTGAATTGTTATTTGCCTGTTGGATTTTTTTTTTTTTTTTCCGACCGCTATTCACATTATGATCCACTTACTTTTCTGCCAACAATTAAAAAATGGCTTCTCACACTAAACAGATTGTTGCCAGACAGGAGCCTAATTTTAGAGACCCAAATTTTTAAGGTAAAACCATTCGTATATGGGGTTTTACACCCCCGTTTACACTCCCCTCACATGAGGGGAGGGCCCACGATGAATAAAATAATCGTGGCCCCCCGCCCCCCTATTGTGAGGGGGCAGGTGGACCCGAGTAAATGTGAGTGTAAACCTCCATGTACGAATAGCACGATTCAAATTTTTATACACGTAGTCGATAGGACACTAAACGATATATATTTAAAATAAAAAATTTTGGAGACCAAATTTCTCGTCTCCCAAACTTGGAACACGCTTTAAGTATAAAGCAATTTCAAGCGTCGCCATTTGTCATCAGACACGCGTTTACTAAACCTCTGGAAAAACTCCACGCACTTCGTTTCGGTAAACCACCGTGCACAGCCAAAAATCTCCGGCATTGTGCTCTCGTACGCGCCACCGGTAAGAGCTTCATCAGTAGACACTCAACAAAGACTTTCTTACAATCCCCAGCGTACATATTCTAAGAAGCCTGAAGAATCTCTCTCATCTACTACCAGCTCAACTAATAGAAATCATACGAACATATCAAATTTCAAACCTCCTTAACGCGACGCACCAATCAGTCGACAAGGTAATCATTGGCTTCTGAGGGTTTTTTTTTGCTGGGCCTTTAAATAATGGATTTTCTGGATATAAACACGCATGTATTGTGTTTTCTTGAGAATTTGTTGATTTATACGTACGTTGAACGTGACATTGGAATTGGGGGATACGTATATGGGGAACGAGAGATGTTTGCGGAGTCCACCAAAAGTGGAGAAGCCTCGCACCATGTTCAATGCCGCGTCATTGGCTTATATTGTAGATTGTATTTAAGAGGTATGTCAGCTTTTGAGATTGATCTCTATATTTCAAATTGGTTATTCTCTATGCTTCGAACCAAATTCGCAATAAGATGTTGAATTTTAGTTGTAATGGTTATAAATATAATTTTGTTTAGTTAACTGGTTACATGGTCATATTTAATTAGACTGAAGCAGTGAACGTCAGATGTTAAAATGGGTTTTGAGAGAAACTGAAACTCCAATAACAACACTGTATTGTAGGAAGCATAAAATAGAAGGAAGAGTGAGAGTGCAAAGTCTTAGTTAGGAGGCTATGGACACTAAGATAGTGACACTGTCTAGGCCCTGCACTGGAGTTCTGGAAACTGAACACTGGCATGGGCATGGGAGCTAAATGTAACTTGTGGGAACGATCAAAATGTTGAAGCTATAAAATATTGTTCGTGAGAAAATTATTTAATATTGGCACATTGATTAGTTTTGTTGCAGCCTGACGTACCTGGAGAAAAAAGAGTCATAAATATACATGGAGGTCCAATCTATGCACCATCTCTTCTCTCTAGAAAGATTGTCATACATGCCTCACTTGGAGAAACCTGGATTTTTTATATAGGCATCTTATTAGTTATTTTATGTTAGAGACACGTGATAGATGGAAAGAATACATTGGTCCAAAAGTAGAGTGTTACTCTTGAATCTACTCTATCAGGTTTTAGTTCAACCTCAAACCTGCTGCCAACGATGCTCCCATCTGCTGCCATTGATTCTTCTGTGGGAGGCATCAACTGTCTCCAAGATGCATTTAAGCACCTTTGATCCACAATATACAGTTATTTAGTTAGCTTGTTTTGTTCTTTACATTGATTAATGAATTTTTTATGTGGTGCCAAATTATTTATTTTTTAGATACGCGAGTTTATTTTGATGATGACTTAAACAATTTGGAGAGCACCAACAAGTTTGAAACTGTAGTGTTTGGTTCAAACATATGATAAAAAGTAGAAATTTTGAAAATTGAATACAAGAAGCAGCCTTGGCGATAATCTATCTCCAGTCTTTCATAGATGTACCATGTCAAAGTTTGTAGTGGAAACAAGGAACATAATAGATACACATATAGGCTTGTACTCGACCTGAAGGTCATTGTCTATTATCGAACTTGAACCCAATCGTACTCTAATTACTATGTTATAAATCTTTAGAAGGTTGTAAGCATATACTGTGTGAAAGAGATTGCTGCCTTCTTCAGATTTTCTTTATACATTTCTCATTTCTTTTGGCATGTGAATTACATGCAGCTATATGCTCGCAGGCTCTTTTTGCTTCCTCCATTGAACATTGAAGAATAAAATGATCTAGTGATGGCAGTGGTGCGTTGTGAGGCCCAGGTATTACTGCGATATCCTTTATGTTGAGAACTTTCGAAGATTTGCATTAATTAACGATATTTTAGGATTTTTCCACCTCGTACATTGCTTACAAACTTGAGTTCTTATAAACAAGGAGTTCTAACTGCATCAGCTTCACAAGCTGGTGGTCCTCTTTCCACTGGGACTTAGCATTTAAATACCTTGTAGTTCTGGAGTTATTTACACTATTCGTTTTCCACTTAAACAAGTTTTCTATGCTAAGCCTCCCAAATAATATCTAGTGTGAGACTATACTACTTGCCTCCCTCTTGTGCGTTTAATGCAAGTGCACATCTGCTCTCAGATTTCGTTTACCTAGTAATCACTAGTGATTTTATTAATCAATAAATTCACATAAAAAGTGGTACAAAATGCTGCCACGTGGTTTGTGTGTTAGAGGATTTTTCACAAGTCATAGTGCGTCCAGGTGATTCTATTCATCATCCTTTTTATGCATGTCTATCTTTGTGAGCTACACTGTTAACAGTTTAACTACTAAGGCCTTATCTGGAGCAGATTTTGAGCTCAATTTTTGTGATTTTTTTACCGTTGCAAACCCAGTTAGGACCCACCTATTAGAGTATAAAGTCAAAAAAAGCCTGCTGAATTGTACATCCAACGGTCCAAAAATCAGTTTTTGTGTATACAAAAATCAGCTCCAGACAAGGCCTAAGGGTAATTGTAAATGGGTAAATGTGTTTAGTCGCATTTCTTATTATCTGAAATATCTAAATTATATGGAGAGAAACAAATGAGTAGTGTCCTTGCTCTGTTTCAGGATGCAATGCTGCAGAAGCTCATTAATGATAATTACTTATTTCAAGAGGAAAGGTTTGTACTGTATCTGCTTGCATTCTTTTTGCCTTCCCTCAATATGCTTAAGCCTTGTGAGAATCATGCATCCTTCATCTCACGACTGTTTTGCCCTTTCCAAGGTCCTGTCTGAAAGTTAATAATCTTTAACGGGTCCTGGTCTTACTTTGAACAGAAAATACACCAGCTAAACTCTATTCTGCCAACCCATACCAGAACATGATAAAGGTTTAATTTTCTAACTTATATGAGAAAACTGCCAGATTTTTGTCTCATGAACTAGGATTTTTAGATGTTTCCTTGCCCAACTTGTCACCATAGTTGTGAGTCTCTCTCCTATCTAACCTGATTGGGTTTTTTTTTTTTTGTCTTCAAATATATTCCATTACCAAGACTGCATAGTCATGAATTCTGGTGCTAGTAACTTTTCTTTTCCATTTCAGATGAATTGGTTAGACTGAAGGTAAGCTACTAATCTCTTTGACAAGTGTTCAGTTTTTACTCATTCAATGCTGGTACTGGATTAAAAGGGATAGTACTTCTGTAGGTCTTGCTTGAAGTGTAACTTCATCTTGATATTTGAAAGCTAAGAATCAAATTGGTTGTCATTGCAAGTCTTAAGACTTCAAGTAATTATGTTTGTAAGAGTTAATAAGCTCCATCTGGAATTTAAGCAAAAAAACTCTGTTGGGCTCTTTGAATAATATAATATCTCAAGTTGACATTTCCAGTATATTTGTATATTTTCACATTTGACCCCAGAATTGGAAATGCCACAATCACTGACTGACTGTTTATCCATGACTATGAGTACAACTTGACGACATGGAAGACAAATCATAACTTAGAATTTCCACTTGTAGCTAATTATCAAATCATTTGTTAATCATTAATCTAGTTTAGCATAGAGAGATTATAACCTCTTAACGACGTGGACCAAACTGAAATGAATGCAAAACGGTAAAAAAAATTCATGGAGCACTTCTAATTCTATAACCAAGTCATACTTATTCTGCTCACATATTTACCAAATGACTACCCTGGCAAAGTTTCGGTGATTTCGTCCACAAGTTGGAAATTGTCAACGTTTACCATCCAACTTGAGAGGAGTGTAGAAACTGTGTGTATTAGTGTAATCTTATGGTTGATTGATTGGGTTTATTATTTTTACCATATTTAGTTTAGTCATTTCCTTCTTTTCATAGTCAGATAGATAAATTACGATAAATTAGGAAGTCTTTTTCTTTTCCTAAATTAGGAGATTCTTTTCCTTTTCTTCTCAATATTGTACTATTAATAGGGTGGTATATTTTACTATTGAATAAGAGAATAATTTTCTTTCTTCAATATTACACATAAATCGAAAAAAAATTCTTCATTTTTAACTATATATTCTCC